ACACCTAATACATGTACAATTGAAGATTATACTCCTATTAAAAAATCAGAATATTATTTTAAAATTGATGATGGAGTGTTAGCTATAGAAATTAATAATTCAATACAAACAAGACTACAAACTTATGAAGAATATAAGCTTTCTAAAAAAGAATGTGAACGATGTTTAGAAAAACAAATTCTTTTTAAGTATAGTATATGGTTTAAAGATAAAGTTGATTGTGAAGTATCAAAATGTAAAAGAAGAAATCGAAGTCATCATTGTCACGAGATTTGCAAGAAATGTTATAAAATTTATAAAATTTATTCTTTAAGTTTTGATGATTTGGTTTTTTTTTGTTAAACTTTTTAATTAAAGTTTAAGTCTAATTAGTATTTAACCAATTAGAATTTTATTGATGTAATCTGAAAAAGATTTATATATAATTTAAATAGAAGACGATTTTTTTCTTGATGATTCTGTATGGGAACATTTTTTTCAAAAACTAACTGAAGAGACTGATGATTTTAAATTTTTTGTTCAAAAAATAGTTGGAGTATATGGTATATCAGCTGATGAAGTTAATATATATCAAGGCAATAATCGTACTGATATTGTTGTAAAACATATCGATTCAAAACAGGAAAACCATTTTAATCTTATTTATAATAATGTAGAAATAAGTGTTAAATTTGGATTCCTTCTTAGAAAAGCTTTTCGTCATTATTGTTAAAAAAAAAATTAAATTTTTTGATATTTAGTTTTATTCTAGCTAGTCTATTTGACTGGTTAGATTTTTAATTATATAATTTTGAAATGACTAATAAAAAGGTGAGTTATATTCACTTAATAACCATATTTGTGCACGCTGCTCTTCAAGCATTAAGAATTTATTCTGGGAAGAAATTTTTTTAAAAAAAAATTCTCGAGGATAAATTTCATTTTTGCTAGAAACGTGAATGTGTAAGACGCCGCAACCCATGGAGTGAAAAATATGTTTTATTAATTTTTTTATTTTATTTTAGATATCAAACTGGGCAAAAGGTCATACTTTCAAAAGTGATCTTCGTAAATTATTTAACCAGAATGGGATAATTGCCCATATAATTCAAGTTACTGAAG